GGGTGGTGCGCTGTTCTAGAGGATCAAAGTCCGCCCTCAAACTGCCCGCGCTCCGCCACACGCTCTCCGCGATGTTCGTCAACTGCCCTGGCCGGCACGCCCTCCCGATTTGTCCCCGATCGACCATGTGTGGGGCTTTATGGGCCAACGCCTGATCCGCGCCGCGACTCCCCCGACAACTCGGCCTGCTCTGCGGGAGGCGGTGCAGGGGGCGCGGATCCGTGTGACGCAGGGCACTTCTCGCCACCCATTCGAAGGGATGCCAGCCCATCAGGGCGTGTCGTACTGCCCGCGTCGGCTACACGATGTATTGATGTGGCGTTTCCCGTTCCTGGTTCTCTCTGTTGCTGGACGTGCAAGTCTCACATGGCTCTGCCCATGTAATCATGTGTAGTATTCTGTCTGTATGTGCTGTATCTGTAGGGAAGAATAAAATGAACAATGTCGATGTGTTGCAATACGTTTTTCCACCAGTGTAGAAATTCATAGAAATTAAGGACGTTTCATTTGCACAGCAAACTAATTATACCATTTACAGTAAATGTTCTTAGTCTACATACGTTTTTAAATGTATATTGTCATGGAAACTTTAATGTCTTAAAAGCCAAACTTTCCTGCAGTTGAAATATTGCTGTAGGCTCTGATTGAATTAGAAGTGTAATTGATATTTTTCTCCTCTGCAAGGCAAATGTTTAACTGATTATTTTCCATAAAAGATCACCAAATATTACGATTATCATATTAACCCTACAATTATATGCATACCTATATCGTCGGAATCTTTGGAAGTCCCATTCTGAGTCTTGCTAACTTTTGGAAGTTCATTGTCAGTGCTCGACAATTCTGTGTTTTCGTAGTCATCGAGCAACTGTGCTTTATTGCGGAGTTCGATGAGGAGTTGCATGAAATCATTTCGCTTGATGTTGTTCTTCTCGCGATAGTCGACTGTCTCTTTGACGACACGGATGAAGAAGTCCGCCACGTGTGTCGGAGGCAGTTTTATTATGTTGTCAATTTGAGGAATGAACATTCCAACAGTTTCACGAATTGCCAATGACAAAGATGGCTCAAAAATCTGCAGAGGAAAAAAACTGTTATTGACATGATTGTAGCAACTTAAATGATCGTTTTTGTACGTTTGCATAATATACGAATGTCATTATCTACACCATCCCATCCAGCGTTGTGCACTTATGACTAGGTAATGATGTATCGCCTCACAGAACGTAGAAAAAGAAATGTATGACTACGTGGGTATTTATATATTAACTTGCACTCTAGAACAAGCATGTAGAAGCCGTCATAGACGCATATTTTTTTTGTTGTTTTTTTTTGCTTTTTTTTCAGAGTAAAATGGAAGAGACAAACGAATAAAGATATCAATTTGAAATGTTTCCGCCTAACTCGATTCTTCAAGACTTGATTTCATTCACATCAGTGTGTATTAACAATCAGGGTTACAGATATGTTGTGTCGGTTTGGGTAGGGTCGGTTTGGGTAGGGTCGGTTTGGGTAGGGTCGGTTTGGGTAGGGTCGGTTTGTGTCGGTTTGGGTAGGTTGGGTTTGGGTAGGCCCGGACTTGCAGACGTGCTCAACCGCCTGAACCGTCATTTATTTGCTTATTTCTGGGTCTTCTGCTAGAACTCTCTCAATTCTTAAGGCAGATTAACGTTACCCCCTGATTGTTGCACTCACTCACCGCCTTGCCCATGCGCCTGAACTCGGAGTCGGCGTCCGCGAGCGAGTTGAACTGCAGGCCGAAGGC